AAACGCGCCTGATTTAAATGTCACACCTGAACGCTCACATCCTTTTAATTATGTTTGAAATTATGAACATTGCTCAACATCATGAAAATTAAACCTTATTTTCAATAAGCAGTCCTGAAAAATATTTGGGGGTGCTTAACTTTTTTCCAGGTGTATATATATATATAAACGCCCTTAAATATGTTTATGAGTTATTTATAACATTAATATCACTATTTCATCAATGAGAGCTGACACATATAGAAATATCAAAGCTATACATATGTATAAAACAATCTGGATATCTTTCAAATAGCATACTGCAATATGGAGTATTAAATTCATACAAAAAAGTACTGTTTTTTCTCCAGTAATCACCTGGCCTAAAATAAAATACCATTAAACACAAATGTAAAAGGAAAGTGGAAAGAAGACATTTCCAGATGAATTAATTAGTTTCATCTATTGAAACAGCTGATGGAAAAGAGAGAAAGAAACAAATGTATAAGGAAACCAACACTAGGGAGTCACACATTTATTTAAATTTAATTATGTTTTCAGAAAAAAAAATAAGTCCCTTACTTTCACAGCATATACATTTCCTTCAGTCTTATGTTTAGCTAGTAGAACTTTCCCAAAACTTCCTTTTCCAATCACTTTCAAGAACTCAAAATCACTTGGTTTCACACTAAAAAAAATAAAAATCTCCACAAATGTGGTCTAAAGTTGAAACTCAAAAACTTTAAAGGGTAAAAAATTGGTATTTCTTCTAACACAGTTAAATTTATTTTACTGAAAATACAATATTTTAAAAATAAAACAAATGTGTTAAGTACAATAAATCTAAATTAGCAGTATAAAGCATTGTTATAAAATTTGAGACGTAACTTCAGAAAGCTGTCATTCTCTGCTACTTTCTTTTTCACAAGTAATTCTTAGTTTATCACCAAAGGCAAAAACAATACATTCAATATGTAAATGGAAAATTTATGGTTAACTGTTGTAAATGAATTTATGTATATAAAAAATTTAATAGTATTCTTGAGCAATGTATAACAGAAATCATATATAATATGAAATGAGATACAGAATTTGTTCAGCAACTTCTTTAAAAAACAAAGCAAGGGATCAATTATGATATTTGAAACAACACCTTTAATTTATAAGGGAAAAAATCTTCAAATTGCTAGTTCATTACAAAAACTGGCCAAGAAAAACACAAATCTTGGATGTTTTATAGCTGCAAGAGATGCTTGAAGAGAAATGTGAGTATGATTTCACATTTATCAAAACATAGTAGCAGTTCAAGCAATGAAGGAAAATATAATATTTTAATGCTCTCTCAATGAAAAATTTTGTTTAACATCTACCCATATTTACTTGAAAGTACACAAAGCTTAGAAATATTAAACGATATTGTAATCTTTCCATCATTTGAATTCTAACCAATATAAAACATACAGCTAAACTCACTTGTTTTTTTCAGTAGGCCCCAAGTCGACTGGCTTATCAATCTTTTCCTAAACAACAGTACAAGTCAAAAAACAAACAAGGTGAAAGAAAGGCAATATTTCTCACTGAAAAATTAATCACTTATAAAAAAGATGGAGTTTTGTAACTTTTACTGAATATATAAAAATAATCATCTCAAAAATAATTTGTAATTTTCTACTTGTATATATATATATAAAACACACACACACACAATAAGTAAACCTGTCTTCAACAGTTTTGCTGTAATCAATATGTTTATGTATTAACAAATACAGTCTTCTGCTCTTTAATGAAATGTTTTAATGTACCCATTCTAGCTGTAAGGAAGCTTATGTACCACACTTTCATATTGTGCATCCCAAACAGTAATCCTGAGCCAGTCCTAAGAAGCCATATGTAAAAAATAAACTTTTCCAAACAACAATCACAGAAGTAAACATTTTCCTACACTGAAAATGCATTTCTGATAGATCCTAATCTCTTCTCACAGAATAGCTTTTTCCGACTTGTATTGCCCTCTATACGTGCAACTTTTTGCTTGCCACTAGCTTTGATACTCCCACCTACCCTTACATGCAAACTTATGAGGCAGATGCATGATAGCATGCAAATGAGCATGTGAAAACCCACCACCAAGAGGAGCATGACACAACTCCTAGCACAGCTGACTCCCTCTAAGCAACTTAGTCCAACTTTACTTCAATATTGAGCAACAGAAAAGGAAAAGACACTGGAAATGAAAAGGAAAGGTGGGAAGTGTGAGAGGAGGTAAGAATCTATCAGAAATACACTTTTAGTGTAGATAAATGTTAACTTCTAATATGATATCTTACTTCTGCTCACAAAACAGTTAGAATCCCACACTGCCCTGGTGGAGGGACTGATGTAACAGTACCTAAATGAGCTCCTTCCAGAAAGCCCATGGGGTGTGTGAATAAAGAGTATGTAAGACACATCCGTGAGGTGAGAAACCTCACCACTTCTGAAACCACGTATACTCTTCGCCTGTGAAAATGATGTGTTGCAATAAGGGCAGAAACCTAGAAGGGACCCCTGGTGTAGAGTGGTTAAGGCACAGCAGACCATAAGGGGAAGATTAACCTCAACCAACACCACTAGAGCCGTGATAGAAATCTCCAACAGACAGTAGGAAGAGGGTCCTCTATCATTCACCTCGGACACAGGAACTGGAGGGGAAGAAGGTCTTCCATTCCAAGGACCCACAACATCATGTATACATGTCCAACACAACCAACATCAGCACTCACCGTGAACCGACATTCAAGCAATGATAGGAAAGTGGATAGTAATGTAGCAGTTCAACTCCAGTCCAAAATCAGGTGGCATTAGGAATGATTTGTCTATTCCACAGTAGAAAGAAGGTACCAGGGCCACTCACATGTGAGAACTTATGTGGCTGGTCCAGCTTTTGAATTGAGCACACTTAGGAGGAAGCCTCCATGGTCCACCACCCCAGCAACTAGGAACTGATAAGTGGTAAGTACTCCTGTACTCCATTGGAAGAAAGGGAGAAAAAATGGGTTGGAGAGCCCAGAATAACACAGTACCAGAAACAGTGCAACAGGTGACCACAAAACCCTATTTTGAAAAGCAAAAGATTCAGTCAAAAGAAGGAGCAGCAGGGATGGTCAGCAATCCCATTCTGCTTTACTCATGTTAGTCCATGAGTGTACGGTCAAGGGCGAATGTATTTATGATGCAAAACACTGCGAGGAAAAACCTACAAGCAGTATTGCAGAACACCCCATTGAACTAAGGCTGTAAGATCTCCAGCCAACAACTATGGACCTGACGCCATGGTAGTCATGTTTTTCTTTACTAAGTTTAACTGTAAGAGGAATAGTAGTGATAGTAGCTTTAACACGAAACTCAGAATCCATGTCAATGAAAAGTGTAAGTAAAAAAGTCCAAAGAGAGATCTCCAAAGAATCATGTATTATAACAAAAGACACATAATGCTAACATGTACTAACTAAAACTTCCAAAGTGTTGCAAACATAAAGAAAAAACTAAGTTATCCTAAAAAAATAAGAGAATGAAAATTTCATAAAGGAAAGAACAAGCAAAAAATACGTCTGAACACCACAAGTACCAATTGAGAAGTGAAGTTGGGCTAAGCTGCATAGAGGGAGTCAGTTATGCTAAGAGTTGTGTTGTGCTCCTATTGGTGGAGGGTTGTCATATGCTCACTTGCATGCCATCACACAGCTGCCTCACATAAAAACATGTAAGGGTAGGTGGAAGTATCAAGACTAGTAGTGAGCAAACCTTTGCACATACAGAGAGCTGTACAAGTTGGGAAAAGCTATTCTGTGAGAGGAAGTAAGCTATTGTATCAGAAATGTACAATGAGACATCAAACCATAAACATTAAATGGAGACAAAACAAATTCCATTCCAAATGAACTAGATAATGCAATTCATATAAGTAGTTTATTAATGTGATGAAGAAATAGACAACCAGGAGTAAAGCCAGACTCCCAGAAAGAGGGAGGAGCCACCTATCCCTCAAGGAGCCAATAAGAAGAAGTTTTTGAAAATATGGAGACTTTCATTTCTGTATCAATCACATTCACAATGTGAAAACACCATCTGATAAATGAAATATTATACATTTAAAGGTTAATTATTTCCATTACATGCATGTGTGTGCATGTACATGTGTCTATACACACATAATTTGAAGCATTAAATAATAATGATTGTGGTTGTTTTTATCTAAAAGTTTTCTTCTTCAGAATCTATGAAAAAAATTTATTATCCACATTGAATCAATAAAATAAATTGTCTTCACTCACAATAATATCAAATCATTTTCTAATTTCAATGCCTTTCCCTTTCTAATTATTATTTATTTAACTTGCACTTTAAAGTTTTTGGGATTTTCGTGCCCATGTGCGTATGCAATACTTTTCCTGCATCTGTACGCATTGAGCAATGTCAAAATCTCTTGATGACTTGCACATACTCTGAAGTCATTCTGATTCCAAACTACGTGAAATTTTTTTGGCTCTTACCAAAATCTGACTCAGGTTTTTCAAAAGATTTTATGCCTAACCAATTTCCAAAGTCTTTCTAATCAAATGTAAAATAATGAATACCATTATGAGCAACAATATCTAAGTTTTATTTGACTGCAGACTTAAAATGGCACTATATCTGTAAGTCAATGATTAAAGGCAATATAAAATAATACCACTTTATTGTATACACCTAGCGTAATTAATGGTTACCTCCTGTGACAAATAATACAATCAAAAATACAGCAATGTGCCAAAAAAGATACATGTCATCTTTCCCAACCATCAACACCCATTCATAATTTATTGATAATAATTAATCCAATTATGTCTATCAATACAATATATAGTCATCTTTTTTTTTCTTTTGACACAAACTTTCAGTAACAATCCATGCATGTAATTGATATTGGCATACTCTCTGTGGAGAAATCAGATGCTGCTGATTGGCTTATGCCTACATAAACAACATAAACCTCAGACACCCAGTACAGTCAGTGGTCTTTCAAACATTCTAAAAATTAACCTACCCTATCAGGAGAGCTTTCATGACAACTTCATTGCTAAAGAAATGTCAAATAAAAGCAATTACCAACAAGAAATATACTAAATATTCAGGCAATTCAGGGATAAACCTATCTCACACTAACAAAAACAAGAGTTTCATGAATCTAATATGCAGAAGGACAGGTAGAATAGAAGATAAAAGTAAAATAAGACACTTTATTTTGTTGCACAAGAGTAAGAAAAGTACAAGTGATCATCAGCTCAGAAAGTCTATTGCAAAATAAAGGAAAGAAATATAAATTTATGAAAAAGGGTTAAATTGAAGTACACAATATCAGCATGTAGAAATACAGTTAAACAAAGACAGGTTTTCCAAGGCAAGCCTTGGCTCTCTCAGGAAAGTGAATTATTTTCCTCAGGTGTTAGAGCCAATCTGATGTGAGAATTCCAAAACTATATTCACAATTTGCCTAATATCAGGCACCAGAATGTAAAAAATATTTCTATGTGACAGTTGCAAGATATCCCACCCACATAAGGTCAGGTAGAACACAATGCAACCATCCCATGAAACAATAAATTCCTTGGCAAGTCAAACTATAAAAAGTAACACCTTGGGCTGAGTTTTTACACAATTTCAACCAGATTTGGGATATTCCAAATCACAACTTAAAATTATATTTTGTAGGTAAGAATAAATACTACATCAGAGTAAGGTATGTATTGATGTGTATTCATAAATTATCAAAACTAACTAAAAGCAAATAAAATGCAGTTGAATCGAACAATGCCAAATGATGGGAAAAAAAAGAAACTACATGAAGAAGGCCATATCCAAATTAAGAATACCATACAGATTAAGATAAACAAGAGACCAAAAAACAATGAACTAGACAAAGTTTTCTGGAATATCAAACTGAAAATAAAAAGCAGAAGAGATATGATGCAAGTCACCAAAGACATAGCAGATAAGGAAATTAAAAAAAAGGAATACAAGCACTCTGAACAAGACTGACTGCAAGCCAAAAACAATGAACAGCTCAAATTAGACAAAATATACAATCAGGATTATACTAGTAAGAAACATGAAATACAGGTAACAAGAGTGAAAATTAATGCTAAACGACATGTCTCTCCTGAGAAAAATAAGTATTCATGCACACTGGTATCCAGCAGATAAGCTTAAACATATCTACAAAATACATATTTTAGGACTTTTATGCAAAGAATAAATTCTACAGTAAAGGAATGAAACAAACACAAGTGAAGAAATAAACAATCTTTATTCCAGTAAAAGGACTATGTGTCATTTAGTATTCCACCTCCTCATTGGCAGTGACTTTAAATACCACCTGGGAAAAAAAAGTTAGGTTTTTTTCTAATGTCTACATCAGACAAAGAGAAATATGTTTTATTATATGAAATTCAGACACAAACATTTAAATGTAGTATACCAGAATCCCATTATACATATGTCACTAACAATTACAAATAACATTTAAAGTGAAGAAAACCATTAACTCATACTCTGTATCATACACTGAGATAAGCATGCCCCTCCTCAAGGGTGTACAGACATAGGGCCAAAATGATATGAATTTCTTCCCATTGGTATATTCAAACTTTACTTGAGTATAAAAAGATTAGTAAATGTTTATGCTTATTAAACACTCAGTTGACAACCAGGTCACTTACAGACATTTACATGAAAAAGTAGAGGGATATACCTAACTAAATATATATTCTACACTGTAGTTATAGAAAGGTGAAATTCATATCTGTTCCATTATGACAAAGCATTAAAGAACACTAAGGATACAAAAAAAGTAACATTCCTTGCATAAAAAATTCCATGACAAGCAGATTCAAAAGATAGCTCTATAAATCATAAAAAGAAAAAAACTTTTCCTGCAAATATTTCAGGAAGAAATGTAACGAGTTTGGAACATAAACTGCAAACATTTCTCAAACTTAAGAACTGAAATATCTAATGTTAATTTTATCATTGGAAAGCTTTTTAAAATAGTCAAAATACGTTAGGTATCTGCTGTTAAAAAAAATAAAGTTAATTTTTGCCAAGCACAAAAATTTAATGTATAAAGTGAATAAAATAACTGAAGCATGTTTATAACAGCAACAATATTTTTTTTAACTGGCCATGCACACTAAAATACATCTGGCCTTAACAACAATCTTACATGTAAATGCCTTAAGTGAAAAACACTTACAAAATCAGGTAATACTGGACTCTCTGGGGTTGTTGGAGTATCCGGTGCTTCATCCAGTTGGTCATCTTCAACCTCATTATTATCCACATTTCTACTCAGGTTCAGGAATTCCCTCACTTCAGGACTAAATGATTTGCATTCAACAGCAATGATGTTACAACACTGAATAGCTTGGTAATCAACAAAATATGTTTTACATTTGATGTTTAAATATATTTCATAAATCCTAGTTTGAAAAATCATACCAATTTGTGCTCTTTATAATCAAGCATATATTAAAATTATAGTTATAGCTTAATATGGAAAAGCACTAGAAAAGTTTATGTGTTTAAAAATATCTTTGGTCAATTATGCTATAACTAATATCTTTAAAATAAAACCATTTATATTAATTACAAGAAATTATTTATAGCACTAATAACATTTTTACATTCAGTGACAATTAAATGTACACCCCTTCCTTTAATGTATTCAAACATATTTCATTCTACCAGTTAACCTAATCCAAATAGAAAATTTTTCTTCAAAGTATCTAAGTCTCTTTTTTTATTGAAATTTGTTTTATAAAATTAATATTCTTTATTCATAAAGTATTTTATAAGTATTTAAGTATATGTGTGTATTTCACAAATGCAAGTTCATTTATAGTTTAAAAAACACCTTAGAGAAAGTTCTACAAATACATATGTTAATATTAGAAAATAATAATTTTACCTTTCCTGCTATTCTTTTAAAGTATTTTTTATGTAAATTAAAGGGTACATTGTTCTATACAAACTTATGTTTTTATAATTATTGTAAAGAAATATCAGTTAACAAATGAAGAAAATTATTATCTTTTTATAGTTTAAAAATTACTGTGATATAATGGTAAAAAACATTTACTAAAATAAATTTAATTTGTTTAAAAAATAAAGAAAAACTAAAAAATTAGAAAATATTTTGTAAGATGCTTCTCTGTCATAGCCAACCACCACTCCACCAGCCAGTTCAGTTAGTTCTTTAATCAGCTTTTGACAGATCAACTCAACTTTACTTGTGAATTTTAGAAACATTTCATTCAAAGAGAAAGAGATTAAATAAAAAAAGTGTGATCAAATAATCTTATGATGCAAGAAATAATAACTAAAAGTAACAAACACGAATAAAACACTTGGCTAAAAATATCCATTTACATGTAGTCACAGAGATCTTTTACTGCACAGCTTAATATTCAACTCAAAGTAGTTATAAACTAAAAATCAAAACATTGAAAATTCTTAAGCTTTAACTTTAAAATTTCAAAGAAAATAATTATATGGATGATTTAGTAAAAAAAATTTGGAAAGTGAAAATCTAAATTATTTCTAAAGTGACAATATTTCAAGTTGTGCTGTCTGAGAAAAACTTCTAATCTTTAAAAACATTTCTAGGAATAGAGCTGCTTAGAAGTCAATAAACATGTGTGAAATTAATAATTAGCCAATGCTGATAGGCAAGTTTAAGCTCATGATTTGTGATTTTAATGTTAACATTTTCCTTACCTGAAAATTTATTTCAAATAGCACACATTTCTCCACAGAACAGATAGCTAATACCTTGTACCACTGCTGAAAATTTTTAACAATGCATCAAGCCTATGAACAAGACCCATACTTCTACACATAATAATGAGTACTGCATAAGTTTATGTCACACAAGGAATATTCTTTACCCAATACACGTGGTGGTGCAGAAAGGTTTTGTGAAAAGAACCTCCTGTGTGTTGCAAAATGTTGCAAAAGTGAGTAGAATGAAAAGACATCTCAGGGGGTCAGCAGACCATGTATGTGTATTGTGGCTAAGTTAGGGTGATATAATTTCAAGTATAAGCAAGTTCAAGGATGAATCATCCCAGACATGCATCCTAGTAGGAACACAAGACCCATCTGGCTGGTCACAATAATCAGGAATGATCCAGTAAGAATGTAGGGGATTGACTTGTAATACACTTAAAGGTAAACACCCTTACTATACCTCTAAGGATGGGGTGCATCCACTTGGTCTCACACCAGTGGAGTTACACCAACTCAAAGTGGAACTCTCCATACTGACATATTCAGAAACTTTGCATAATCTGTCATCTGCAAAAGGTCCCACGCTCAATGGGTTACTGTAAATAGAGAAAGTAGGAGCTGACCATATGTGAGGACAGTGAATCACTCCCAGTGCTGCTCTTTGTTTGGAAATAACTGTGTGGTTGGAAATGTAAAATACATAAACTGTCAAAGCAGCCTTGTAGAAAAACTTCATCCCAACGGTGAGCACTGAGCAGAAGCAGATAAGTTTAACACTTTCTGTTATCCCACACTAGATGAACATTAAAGGAAAGAAGAAGAATTCCATTTGAGGCAATACCAGCCAAGAGGTGGGTTCAACTGTCTCCAGTATATATATATATATATATATATATATATATATTGTCTTCTTTTTCTTGTGAAAACTGCAAGACAAAAAAGAAATAATTAGCAACTCACTTCTTTAGAACCTCTGAGAAGATTTGTGAATGATGATGGGGTAGTCAAAACCCAATCAGAAGAAACTGCAATGTGGTGTAAGTAATGTTAAACAAAGATGTTAGGAATATCAACATCCCTGCTCGTAATATCTCATCCAAAGGACATTGATGGCCAGAAGCAAGAGATGCAGGAGACAGCCAAACATGACAAAGGATACAATCAAGGTCTGAATGATTGTGCAAAGAAGAAAAGGTGATTGAATGAAACATACACTTTCCCTCCCAAGCAGCACAAGTCTTGGAAAGGAAAGAACAGTCTGGAAATAAAATCAACCTATTTCTGTGGTAAATAGTGTAGGAGGGACCCAAAGAAATATAAAAGAGTGATGTATCCCTCAAGTAAGGTTAATAAATTACATTTAAAAAGAAAGATGGCACATGGGAACAAGAGGCCAAAGGTTTGAACAGAGAACATGTAAGAGCCCTGAGAACTAAACAAAGGTTCTAGTCCAGCAGTGAAACTGGATGAAGCTCAGAATGGATCTGTAAGAACTAGGAAGTGAAAACAAGAATGGCCAAGGAAAAGAAAGCAGAAGTTTTGGGATCAAGTACCTGATGTAATAAACAACAGTGGCCATATCAAAACAGGATCTCCATGTGCAAGAAGAAAAGTAAATTTAAAGAAGGTTCAGCTAACCCAAAGAACAAAGTGAGAAAGACTCCCATATGACTCAGACACTGACTTAGGAGTCTGCCCAGCTGAGTGAATTCTCCAAGTGGAAGCCCTCGGAAAACAGATAAGTGCGAGCCCTGAAAGGTAAAGAAAGATCCTGTGTGACCTCAAAGATTTTTGAAAAGTGAGTCCACAAGTGGAGAAAGAGTAAGAGCCAAACTTTCACAGGACCAAAGCTGAGGGGTGATTTCAGAAACAAGTCCCATGATGGCTGGCCTCTTCAGACACCAGGAGAGAGCCACAGGATGAGGAACTCCCTAAAAAAAAAGTATCATGAAGGATGGGTGGCAAATGGAAATCCCTGCAATAAAACTGAAGGAGTCTAACTCCAGAAAATAACTCATCCCATGATGCAAGTTCCAGAAACAGAAAGCAAGTGAACTGAGCAACAGCTAGAAAAGACAATGACAAAAGCATGAAACAGAGATTAGTTCAGTCTTCTCCAATAAAGCTGTTGGTGTTGTAATGCAACCTTAGAAGGGTCAAGAGAACAGCAAGCTAAGAAGGTGAGTAACAAAAGTCAAAGATGAACAGACTGAGAGTAAATAAAAGTTAAATTTGAAGAAGAAGAAAATATCCAAACTGGGAAAAAGATATTCAAGGCATAGCAACACTAGGAAAGAGGAATAATTCCAACCATAGCCAAAGAGGAGGAGGAGTTTTAAGATTAGGAAGGGCATGGCAACTTAAAGTTAACATGAAGCAGAGGCAGAAAGGATCTGCAATAATGCAACAATTAGGTAAGGGAGGAAGAGGGTGATAGAAAAACTAAAAGTAAAGGCAACTTGAGGGAGGAGCTAGACAAAGTAGTTCAAAGTCAAGGCAGATTTAGCAGAAGTTACAAAATCAAGAAGCCATGATCTTGATTCCAAGATTAAGATTGAATTAATGAAAGTATATTCTTATTATTTCTAAGTTTTTGTTGGGTTTTTTTTTAATAGATCTGATATTTTCATGGTACTTAAGCCTGGGTAATTATCGTATTGACAAAATTGAGATAAATTATCAGTTTCTGTTGAAACCAGGACATTAGGTTAATGATGATGAGGAATATACTTATCAAAGAAACCACATCACAGACTCTGGAACACATGTACCAAAATCTCATGTACTGATTAAGAGAAGAAATCAAATTAATATAAGAAAAGACAATTCTATCAGAAGCTGTAAATTAAATCAATTTTTAAATGTGTATCATTCTTTCTTGGAATCAAGAAAATGCAGATAAGAATATTATCTGCATTTTCTTATCTTAAAATATTATCTAATAGTTGAAAATAATAAGTGCAAGCATTCCATATTTTCAAGAAAAAAAAAACACAACTGAACACTGCAGTGCTGAGAAAAGAATGAGCTTTGGGTCCACGCAAAGTACTGAAATGGATAACATGTTGCCCTCCTATTACTAGAGGGAGTATACTCTAATGCTTATTGCATCACACACAGTTGTAGTAATAAATATTATTACATGTGATAGGAGTTTCATTCAAACACATGGTGCATATGCTAAAGCATTTCAGCAGTGATGCGAAGTATCAGCTATCCATTCTGTATAGAAGTGATTAGCATTTCTGAAGGCTGTATTTTAGAGTTCTTAATTAAAAAAGTTTTTACAATGAAGATAATTTTTGTACCACATTAATGATAATATACTAATTGTATGATCTATAAATGTTGAAATAACAGTGTACTTTTTCACCTAAATGGAAAACATAAGTGATAACAAGACATTTTTATAAATAGATAATGCATTCTATACTAAATGCTTGAAGTAACTATTAAAAGATGTTTAAAATTTACAAAGGCTATACTGTTCATGAATATTTCCTCTTTCTTCCATAAACATGTAAGCATGATCAAAAATATTTAAAATATAAGCATGCCCAGAAACATCAAGGTATGAAGACTAGTGATTTTATAATTACTTGCTAATCAATTGCTGATCACTGAAAAGTTTTTGAACAAATTCATCTAATCCTTGTCTTCGTTTGCTGATAAGATCAGAACTAAAATTGTTCCCAAAGAACTTTTTGCCCGGCAGTTTGATGTGTAGCCCTGGAAAATCTTTTTTCAGCTGAAAAAAATCATATACATTATGTCAATGACATGGGTAGTCTTACTCATTATAAATGTATATTTAACATAGAATATAAAGAAACGAAATACACAATTTATAAGGAGTCATGTATATATTAGTAAAAGCAAATTTTGTACATAACTTCCACACATATGTTGTAATCAGTTTTCAATTACATTTCACAATATGAAGTAGAATTACTTAGTTCAACCAAATGTTATGAAACCTACACTACAAAAGTGTACTTGAAGAAGATCCTAACCCTAATGGAAGAATATATATACATATTTTAACATAAGCACTTTACTTACTTAATGAAGACTTAATGAAATATTAACCATTTATACTTATTTGAAAACTACATAAAGTACTCTCAAATATTTGATTTACTGACTCACTGATAAAAAGTAATGAAAAATTCCAGCTTCAGGTGTCAAGAAAGCATGAAACAAAATTTGAATATGCTGTAAGACTGGCAATTACAGAAAACATGGTGTATAATTTCATTATCAAAATGATTCTTGTATGGAAAAGTTACAACTACAATTGCACATTTGTTCTTTACTGTATACCACATGAGTGTTTTGTTTTTTATTTAATGCCATTACATAAATGTATGTAAAATTTGTAAGGAAAAAGACTTACATAAAATTTATGTCATAAATGCATTTATGTACATATGCTTAAGTTCATCATTATTAATTAATCATGAGCATTTTATATGTCACACACTTTAAACATGATGTTTAAGCAAAGTGCAGAACAGAGGATTTACTTAAACAACTTTCATAGAGTATAAATTTTATCAACATACACAATTTTCACAAATTAAGCTAGTTTGGAATCTTGTAAAAGGTATTCTGAACAGAAATTACAAGAGATTTTATGCTAGCATAAATTAAGCATATAACAAAAATTAAAGAAAAGTTTAACTTCTTTATTGCATTGACCTTTGCCTCTTTATCATTACAAACATTATCATCACCACCATTCCTACACAGAGTTGAAAAAAGCATTTATTTACCCACAGTTTATGTGTGACAACATTCTAGCAAAAACTATTTCATTTAATGAAATAAAATTTGTTGACAGGCTTACTGTTAACCAAGTACTATTTTTAAAGTTCAGGTGAAATTCAGTTTAAATTATGATGTTATAGAAAAAGCTTAAAAAAAAACTCTACATAATCTACATGTTCTTGATAAATATATAACTGAATTCTTTAAACAGTTTTTTTATTCCTGTTGAAATAGCACGGAGAAACTTGGTCTCCAAACCCAAATATTCTTCTAATAAGTTTACCACACTTGAACATTATCAATTAACACACAAGTTTAAATATTCATCCTACTGTATACATATATACAACTTGTTTCAAATTTTGTTTATACATGATATCTAATCTTACAAAATATCTATGTAACAATAAAGATAAACAATTATAAGGCAAAATAAGACAACTTTCGAAGAATGTTAAACAATTCAATGGCAATGATGTATTGCTGACAAATCATAACCTATATATATGTTCACTGAGATAAGAGTTCAAGTGAATGTATACAAAACCACCTACTCAAAGTGAATGATCCATATGAAAGTTTATCTTTTGCAGTGTTATCTTTTTAATCTATTAACTATTATACAAAAGTCAAATATGAAACCATTAGTATACACATGTATGCATGCTTCTAGTGATTAGTTAGGTACTTGTATGTCACAATACTGACATTATACATAACATTCTTTAAGGTTTACATAAACAGATAGATGAATAAGTTAAAATAGCTTGCATGGAAAACCTAGTTAATTCTACGACTGTGATTGGTCAGTCATTCTCATATGGAGATTCAGCTTCTACATTATAAACAAAAATTAAGTTATGTTTTCTGCTAAATATGTTAAAATCTGTAAATTATTCCAGCCATTTGAGCTGAATTTCAGTTGAAAATTACTCAAACTTAAAACATAGTTACAAATATTTTATTAGTAAAAATTATTTTAAGTATAGGTATAATTAGTACAATATTATAATCAATATTTTATATAAATTATACTGCTCTCTGTAACAGCTAGCATCACATGAGCATACTAAAACAATAAATTTTTACTGTTTTGTGATAATGCTTTTAAGAACATAACTAAAAGAAAACACGCTTGTTAGACTTAGTAATCTAAAGCTTTTATCAAAAATAGTTCAAATGTGGTATGTATTAATGTTACAAAACAAAAATCAACAGGCTTAGAGGTCATCTACAGGGAGACTTCTCTTAGTATAACAAACAATCAATACATTTCTGCTGTTGATTTTACAGAAGTTTTATATTCTGTTATGTCGTAGTTTCAAAATATGTTGTAATATCCGACTACTCCCCATTTTAATGCTGAAAGTTTAGAAAAGTGAAATTGCTGCTAAAAATATCTGCTTATTTATTTTAAGGTCTTTTACAGATTATTTTTTATTATAAAAGTTATCTTTCACTTAATAAAACATCAAAGTTGTTAGCCAACTCTATAAGTGAACCCAAAACATAAACCTTCTAATGTAAAATTTCATAGGTTATAAAAGAATAAATAAAATACATCAAAATTTCTCGTGCGTTAACTTGGTCCCAATGTTATCAGAGAAACATCAACATATTTTAACTATTCTTTCATATTCGATTCTTAGATGTTTTCTGCTTAATTATTATCAAAATTTATGGAATACCTCCAGAACTTCAGTTTCAAAACTGAGAAAAGGTTAGGTTTCTTTCAATTTTAATTTTAAGCACAATAATACCTTGAATCACAAAAAATTATGGCAGTTAAAAAATGCTCAAAAAAGGATTTCAAATTAATGTTTGCTTTTATAATGCAATTATGTTTTATGTTTGCAAAATATTTAAATTTCTCAAATCCTTATTTATTGACTATCATATTGTTAACTTCATTGTATTCAAATAATGTATATAAGTAAAAGAACTTATTTGCTGGAAAAACTATATTTATCACATATAAATTTATCTTGACCATGAATACTGTTAGCAAAATAGTGTTACATAACATGAACTAATGCTATCATGACAAGTCAGGTTATAGGTCATCAATAAATTTGTCAGTTTTCACAGTGATTTTTATGATTTATAGTAAGTTCTAAAATTAGCAGAAAAATAATGGGTTAATGAATATCAAACAAGCTGAAACTGATTGAATGTATAAAACTAAACTTTCTGACTAATAATAAACAAAACTGAAATACTAAAATGAAAGGAAATATTTTTTTGTTTTTCAAAACAGTGTCTCTCCATAACATTTTTGAAATTTTAGATTGTAAAATACAATAGAAAAAGTACATAAACTGCAAAATCTTTTAAAGTCAAAACTAAATATTATTTCCACCATTAGAGGGAAAAGGAAAATCTAAAGATATTAATAACCCCACTTCCAATCTGGAAGGGGTTATAACTGACATGTTCTCTGTTTAAATAAATGAAATTAATTTTACATTATTGTGTTGCAAAATTTTGAATAACCATAGAATTAGAAGTGTTACAGTTGTACACAAAAGATGTTTAGAGACTTCCAAAATGTTTAAGTACCACACAATAGTTGAGTAGTTTAACACCTAAGGTTCTTATTTGCAGTAATTTCAAAGATTAATTCTTTCACCCAGTTTTTATGTACCTTTTGTCTCACTCATTTCTTGGATAAATATAATCAACTTCATAACATAACTACATAGAATTAGTGCTCACATTTTCTTGTAGCTTACAAAATTCATTGTATCGTCGAAAAACAAACCATGTCTTTCCTCCTGCAGTTACTAGTACTTTGTATACCTGAAAAACACATTAAATTTCACAAGGTTAAAAGAATTAAAGAGAAACATTATTAGCATTTCATCTCTTTTGTTACACACTCAGATAAGTCTGTCACATACATATCAGATTTCTGAAAGTATCCTTTTTTTTATCAAAAAAGAAAAAAATAATATTTATATAATAATGCAAATTCAAAAATATTCTTTTGTACGAACAAAATACTTCTGGAAATCAATATTTTGAAATGAAGTGAAATTTGTAAAAATTACTAACAGTTTTCATATTATAAATTAAAACTAACAAACAACTCCAAAATAATTATGGGATTAGTCCCTGTACTTTACAATGCAAAGTAATAAATGTATGGGCCTTTTTAAAAGAAACTTTGGCTTTATTTTGTTTTCCATATGTTGATAACAAGTGCTGAAACATTCTGGAACCATCTTTATATATCCATGTTTATCAAAACATAGTTCCTTATTCCACAGAACATTACACAGTTTAGTAAAACATCCATGGTGAGCTGGAGGTGGGTTGCAGTTATAAAACTACATGTTTTACAAATGATAGATTTTAGTAAGCTGTAAAACATCTTATGACTAAAAACAAGCCAAAAGCCAATAAAGTGCATAGATAATGAGTGTGTCAATAAAAGATTGGCACCCTAGTGGGGGAATCCTACTACATCCAGAACAGGTATCTCTTCACCTGGATCTTAATTCCTGTATTGTGAGTGGAATTTTATATGATTTATCATCACTATAGGCCAGGCCCCAACCAGATAGCATAGGTTCCACTACTCTGGGTTGGAATTAAAGGGCCATGGTCCCTATATTCCAAGTTGGTGGATATGCAATTGGACCACAAACTATATATATGTGTATGTATGTATATAAATACATATGAGTGGATCCTAACCTGTAGTCATAGAGTGATATGTTCCAAACAACCAGAATCACAAGAGAATGAGCAACACTGAAGTGGACAAACCTTCTCCTCAACCTGAAGAGGTCCGGAAGGCAACAACTCACGCTTGGAATGATGGGATCATGTATGCCTTACTCAACCTGAGGAAACAGAAGTCATCCAGTCTGGAATTATGAACACTCATCATCACTCCCCAACCATGTGGGCAAGGTAAATTCTACTTGCTCCCAGAATTATGGAGAGGATGTGGAACAACTGTGCTCAACCAAGGACCCAGGATAGGACCACTCTGAGTTTGGAATTACAATGAGACAGTGGACCCTCTTCCATGAACAATGTACTGAACCAATATTGATATTGATGAAAAAGAAAAGCCATGTTCAATCCAACTGGACAGCCATGCATCATATCTGAACCAGTATTATGAGCAGGCTCCAACATAGTCTGGTTCCACTCCTACCAACATCTGGGAAAAAAACATCCAGGGACCCAGGTAGCAGGATCCCCAACTTCACCCTCTTCTCCAAGAAAGGAGGAATTCGCTCTAACACTCTGGAGGAAAAGCCTCTGTTCACCACCCCAGTGACTGGAAACTGGGTGTGGTAAGGATGTCTGAGCTCCACTAGTAGAATGTTGGGGGGGGGGGGTAATGTGCAATGGGGAGCACTGAGAAACAGTGCATAAGGTGAACCATGAGTGATGGTCCAGCATAGTACAGTAATACCACCCAGTCAGCCTCCAGGTGGTTTTATGGAACACCTCATTTCGACAGAGCCTGTTGCAACCTGTATAAAATATATTGAATTTGCATTTGATAGTGCACAATTGGTTTGATAAAAACACACCTGCTTAGGCAACACTTGCCACAGAGTGAGATCCAGTGAAAAAAAAAAAAAAAAGAGGTTAGAGGCCCTGTAATGTAAAGAGACAAGAGGAATATAAAAAATACTCACTCCTTCTTATAATCTAGCTGATGTGGTCAAGATAGCCATGGGGGTAGTCAAAAACCCTGAGAGGAAGATACTGCCAGATCATGCAAATAATGTGAGATAAAAGTATTGGGAAAAGTCCACATACTAGTCTGCACAATGTCCTCCAGCATGCAATTCAACTGTGCAGCTAAGGACATAGAGGTGTGACAAATCTGATGAGATGTGACTTGCAGAAGTTTTCTCACTTGCAAAGAGAGCCCAGAATAAGCAATATAGATCAATTTTCGAACCCACTTCGCGAAGGTAATCGGGGATAAATTAAGGGAAACTGAAGAATGCCAATGAATAAAAAATTGATTTCTAGCACCTTGAAAGGAGTTAGTGCAAACCATATAACACCTCAGGGCCGTGATGGAACATAACAAGCGATCAGGGTCTGAGTGGTCATAGAGGTGAGAAATAGAGAGCAAATGAACTGGTGAGAAGGATTTATCCCCTTCCCTGGCTGCCAGAGTCTTAGGTAAGAAGGACCTGTCTGGGTATAGAAAGACATAAGTAGAGTGATAAAGAGTCCTGTACATGTGCAGTGCAAACAACTCTGACTGATGATGTCCACAGGCCAGCAACAACAAAAAATAAATCTTAAGGGAAAGGTGATACATGGTATATGAGGCTAATGACTCAAATGTATGTCGAGACAAAACATGTAATACCACCTTAATATCCCAGTTAGGCAATTGACAAGGCCTTTTGGGACAAAGGATTTGAAACAGCTTGAGAAGGCCAGATAGTGCTGGGGACTCAAATAATTTCCAATTCTTTGAGTATCTAAATGTAATCGATAAAGCTGCCTTATATAAAGTGATTGTAGATAGTGCTAAATCCTTGTCAAAAAGTCAGGTCAAAATATGAGCTATGGTTTGCACATTTGAGCAAAGTAGGTTCAATTTCCTCGGATCATGATTGCTTCAACACAGATGGCCAAAGAGAAAGTGACAGAGGTGGGCACTCTTGAAGTTACCAAAGAAAAGAAAACTATGGTTGAGCCAGTCAATCTGGTGCTACTAATAGCACACAACAAAGGGTGGACCAAACCATAGCCAGAACTCTGGGTAAAAGATGAACTGGTTGGAAAGAATAGAGGTACAATCCCATCCAGTCCTGACTGAATTCAACTAATGCCAATGCCTGAGGAAGAGGTACTGGGGACCAAAATGCCTTTAGTTTAAAGTTTCAATGAGTGGCGAATGCATCGATCATTAGTGTCCCATTCCTAGAGCAAGTCTAACAAAAAAACCTTGTGGTGTAGCATCCATTCGATTGGAAGAATCCTGCTGGGTCAAGACAAATGATCTGCTATCAAATTCATCACCCCCGGAACATGGCAAGTTAGTAGGCTGATATGATGGGAGCAAGCCCAAAAAAGATCCAATGTTCGAAAACAAAGATCCTGTGATTGAGTGCCCCCTTGATAGGAACACCACCATGGATTTGTCAGAGAGAAGCATGATGATTTTTCCCTTCAATAATTCTAGACCTTGAGACATTGCCCTTTGGACAGCAGGAAGCTCTAAAACATTGATGTGGAAGGAAGTTTCGTCGTCCATCCATAGGCCTTAGAATTCTTGACCACTGATATATGCATCCCATCCCTGAAGTGAGGCATCTGTGAAGAGATGAATCTCGGGACAAGGTGGCAGTAGAGGAACACCTATCATAGTATTGTTCCGATCTAACCACCACTCAAGATCTAAGATGTTGATCTGAATAAGAAGACTGGGTGATTCAGTGGATTGCTGTTCATGATCCATTGGTCACGCAGCAACCACTGAAGGGATCTCACATGTGCTTGTCCCAAAGGAATTAGAGATTTGAGTGATGCCAACATCCCTAAAAAAGAAAGAACCATTGATACAGTGGTAGAAGGAGATGTGAGTAAGAGTCTGACTGCCTGTTCCATAGCATTGAGCCAGATGGGAGTTGGCTGAGCCGGACTTAGTTATGTGTTGAAAAAGACACACACATGGACAATGTGTTGAGTTGGCATGAGAATAACTTCTCAGCTCTGATAATAAAGCCTGCCTTAGTGGCTTCTGAAAGGAGAACCTGGGTGTGACATTCCACCAACTGACGAGATGGTGCTAGGAGTAATCAGTCACCATATAATGGTGTGAGCACAGGCCTAAAGAATGAAGGTGATGAGAAAAGGCTCATACTATCCTACAGAATGCATATGGTGCAGATGCTAGTCCAAAGAGTATAGTCCTGAATTGCAGTACCTGACTAATTAACCTTGTGCTGGAAACATAGATAGCAGCAGGACGACTCCGCTATGGAAATGTGGAGATAGGTGTTGGCAACATGGAACCTGGTGATCCAAAGTCCTGGTGAAAAATGCTAACATAGGGTAAGGAATGATTCCAACGTGAATGTGGGAGGATCTAAGAATTGTTCGAGACAAGAAAGATCGACAATTGAACACAATCTCCGGTCTTCTTGGGCACGACAAGTAGACGGGAATAAAATCCCAGAAGAACTGTGTCCACTCTCTCTACTGCCGCCTTGACCAACAACTCTCTAATAGCCCTGGAACAAAGGTCTACAATCTGAGAATCTGTTGGAGGTGGAAACACTACAGGTTGGGGGGGATAATAGTGGTGGTGATGTGAACTAAATGACCAACCCCAATCGAAAACCTGTAGTACCCATGGATCTGTAGTAAAGGAATTCCATATGTCCAGAAAATGTTGTAACCAAGTCCCCACTACCCCACTGGCATAGAGTAGTCAATGCAATGGTCTGCCCAACAGGAGGAGCCTCTTTGATAAGGACAGAATCTATTCTGGATATCAATGGATCGAGGTGCTGATATCAGCAGCCAAAGAAAGTCGAGAGGCCAACAATGACAATGAGGAATGTAAACACCTCTGGGATGCTTGCAAACATCAAGGGACAAAGAAAAAGGCCTCACATAACTCACTGAGGGCAGCAGCAGCTAGTAATTCAATGCCTTTCAACAAGGCATCTCTACTTAACAAATCCCAACAACATACCAACCAAGAAACTAAAGAAAGAGCAGAAGCTGACATATATACCAAAGTAGATGTCAACAAAGGTCCCAACTCATCAAATTATGTTGTGACCACTGAGAGGCTTCTGACAAAATTTGGAGGAATGATAAATATCTCAGAACCATAGTGAGAGTCAGACAAATCCTAGAAAACTGTGATATGTTCAAGTTGATCACAGGCTCCATTCTAAAAACCCACATTTCCAAAAGCAGATCTAGTCTTTGGGAATCCAAATATGCATACCCCTGGCAGTGGTAAGTCAAAGCATGTTGTTCCAACAAACCTGACAGACAAGGCATAGCTCTCCTTTCATATTACTGAGTGGTAAAGCAGTAAACCTCCCCGCATGAACAGCAATATCAGGTGGTGGAGGAAGAACTAAGTATTCGCCCTCAGGCCTTTCCACCATCAAGGAAGGTGTAGACTCATAGGCAACTGGAAAAACCCCAGAACATCACACACCCAATTGACTAGGTCTGATAAGTAATGAATTTTACTAGAAACTATGTGGATTTTAATGACAGAAGAAAAAAATCAAATATGCAAAGACAATCTACAATAGATTCTTAAGGTAAATGTTTCAGGTAGATGAGGAAAGACTGTTTACAGACCTTCTAGCAAAAACAAAAATAAACACTGTTAGATATACACGACTGTTCATTTTAAGTTTAATACAAGAGAATTATTTAGCTTATGTTGTGTGATCATTAAAGCAAGTTATTTTAGAAGCAATATATATGCAAGCGATCAAGTTAGTGCAAGTTGGTGAAAGTGAAAGTAAGACAAAGTTAGTGAGAGATATAGTCAAATAGATCTAGACTGTGTTTGTAAGTTTAGCCATAAAAGTGTATAATTGCAACTTTTAAAGTGTAATAATCATAAATTGTATTGTAATAACAATGTAGAGAAGAAGAATTCATCTTGTTAGTTGGGTTCTAAGGTAACTGAACCAGCCTGTGTAGACTCTTGATGAAAAGAGATGATTACTTAAAGCTCTGGATACAACTATGATGATTAACTGTGTAACAAACATTTGTATATATGTTTGACTTGTTTTGAATATATATAAGTGGATTGTGTGCTGTCCACTTATTGTTGTAATTTATCGTCAACAAGTCACAGACACCTATTGTAAAGAATCCTGCCCAAACATATGTAAAAACCTGACACACAATTTAGAATAGCTTCAAACATTAATATTTCTTTAACAAAAACTAGAAATGTTCTTTTACCAAGAGTACCTCAGTATCGTAATTAAAGCAACATTGTATAACTCCAAATTACAGTAAAAAAAGAAAACTGAAGAAATGGATGTTAACTTTATTTGACCAGTTAAGTTTGGCCAAAATCTCTCTCTCTTTCTCTCTGAAGAGAAGTACGGACAATCAAAAACGTCACTGCTAACAACTGGGTATCAACAAATAGATAGTGAAAAGAGAATTAAAATTAATTTAAAAATTCATCTTAAAATTATTTCAAAATGTCATAACTTTGTCTAAAAGTGAAATGTTTTAGTTCACAAATAGTACACATTATAAAACTCTGAGAAATTATGATTCTTTTCTTAATCATCAAACTCTTCCAAATGTCCAGATAGTATGCAAGTTAACAAAAACAAACCCAAGCAAAAGTTTTATATCTCTTTCATGTGGAGTCAAAATGACATCCCACACTTGGAATGCTTATACAAAGAATGCAGCTTCTTGCTGTATAAATAGAAGTATGACTCAATGAAATTCACTTTATTCTCCTGTCACTGATCAGCTTGGTAAGAGTTGTTTTAATAACTTCAATACTGTCACTTCGACAATACAAAGAGGTATTATATAACATTGAGAAAAACTAATCTCATATATACAAAGACTTAAGATAATATCTAGGATCTTAAAGTTAGTTTCACATGTTAAATATAAGTATAATGGAATTGATAAATGTTGCTGGAGAACAGATCACAAATAAATCAGATCTTGAATTCTTGAAGACAAGAACAAAACCTATCTACAACAAACAAAAAACTGCAAAATGACAAAATCCTGAAAAGCAGTAAGCATATATAATATTCCTATTTGGAAGTATCAGATACACATATAAATGAATAGATTCACAAAAATACTTGCAATAAACTGAAAACTCATTGTGAAGAACCAAAAACTTGAGTAAAAAATGTAGATGTAAAGCTGACTCCTGAAGGGAAGTTGCAGTCCATTAGACAGAAACAGAGAGAAGGTACAGTTGCCAGCAACTGATGAAGCAAAAAAAAACCAAAAAACTAATATCATGAACCTTAATGAAATCTAAAGTGCACCATCAAACAAAAACCACTCCATACATAGCTTAACCTACATGTAAGTGGTAAGAATCAATCAAAGAAAGGAAAAAGATGCCATTACTTGAGGGAAAACAGTCTGAAAATACACCTGCAGAAGACATTCCTATATCGTAATTCCATTATCCCAAGAACACTTTTTTTGACTACTGCCTAGCTTAAACAGAAAAATTACCTTAAAAGGTTATCCATAACCTCAACTTAATCATTAAGAGGTAAACAAAAAGTAAAACATTAGGTCAAAAAATATAAGAATCAAAAATGAAATTTATGTTAGAAGTCAGAGTCGCTCAGCATCTTTTCTACTTTTTTGGAGGTAAAATATTACTTTACATTTATATTAACATCTCATCAGTGATGTACATGTACAGAACTTTCATGTAGTGTATGTACCACTTTCATCACTAGTGAAACAAAGACTGAGGAAATCCTTAAGTTATCATTAAAAGACTTAAAAAGCTGTATGTACATTGAACTCCTAATACAAGCGACATCAATTAAGTGACCAAGTAACCAATGGTAACTTCTATTTTACATAGAGATAAACAAATTACTCACAGTGTATTTCAATCGCTTTTTCTCCCTGGTTTCAAAGTTGGTGACACTGGCTGATGTTGGAGATATAGAGCCATTCTGGTTACTTGTTCCATTTACTGTTGAACTGTTGCTCATTGCTTAGTCTACATAAAATTGTACAGTACTTTAGGTTCAATTTGCTCCACAAGGTTTACACACATGTTTAGTATCATAAAACTCTTCCATAAAAAAGAAAAACTGCAATCTCTAATACTCTAAGCTACTCAATGGGTATTGACAGCTCTCAATAGTATTTCCTAATAGCAGTAAACATTTGAAAAGTATTGTACAAATTTGCATATAATTTAAGAATTCTGTATTTCCAAGTAGTATAATAGAAAACTAATTTTTATTCCAATGATCTACTTTAAACTTCTTATTTATTTCTGATAACCAAATTTAGCACATAAGCAAAATATTAAAATTTACATACATGTATATAAAATTAAACTTAAATAATCACCTGGTTTAATTTGACTCTAGACCAACTCACTCACACACACATTGAAAATAAAATGTAAACAGAAGAAATTTCACTGACATATAAACTGCACCATACACCTTTAAAGTTTTTATAAATAACTTCTTCACATCTGTCGTTACAATAAATGAATAATGCCACAGTAAACTCTTACACAAAAGTATTATTTATTACACAACAACATAGAAAGTGAACCGCTTTTTGTAATGTGGTATTTTTCAGGTGAACTGATTTCCCTCCTACAAAGAGTAATCAGGGAGGATCCACAGAATAACACAAGAATTGAGTAGAATGTGTGTTGGAGGATGCAATTGTATTCTCTGACTTTGACTGAGATTTGAAAAGAAAGGGACTGGGCACAAGATAGAACACAGTAAAACAATATTTATTTCTCAAACAGTCCAAAGTGAGTATATTAACTGAGGTTGCTGCTTTTACTGAAGCTTCTAATGATCTCTTTGAAGACAAAGAATAAATTGTAAATTTGTTCCAGACTGAGAAGACAGCATAATATAACCCAGCATTGCAAAAATATAAATAGAAAGATGCTGACGTAATTATACATATGTTTACACAGAGGTGCACTAAAGTGCTACATCAATGACATGAAACAAATTTATAGCTGTGCTTGGCACTTGCACATATGCAAGAATGAAGGATAAAATTTCAAATATATACAATCACATACAACATATTAAAAATTATTTCATCTGTGAGATATGTATCACTTGTGTGTCTCCATAATAAATGGTATTGTAACACATACATATGGATGAAAAATAACATCAGAAAAAGCCTCCAATGTGCAAAATCTTACAAATAACCATAATGCAGACAGCCAACAGTATTTAGCATAGTATGATTATTATACAACAAAGATAAAAAGTTTTATTGCTACAAACAAATTAATCATCACCTTTAAAATACTATTACTTGGACACATATACAAATGGATATACAGTTAGCTATAGAATAATGTATAGCAAAACAAATTAAATGTGTCGAAACTGTCAATTTGAATGAGGTCTTTAATTGGATAAGATGTCCAGTATATAAAAAATGAGTTTTGATGCCAAAATCTCTAATTCTATAGATGAAATATTCAGAAAAGACACCACACAGAGATTTACATGCTGCTTAAGAATAATAATAAAAAAATCACCAACAACACAAACATTTTAAACATTACTGTAATTCATTAAAAATTTATCTTCTTATTACATTTCATTACCCTTCATTGTATTATTTTCTAACCAAAATAACAATGAAAAAGAACTTAAGTTAATCACTTACTACCTTATTTATACTGCCAAATGAATTTACATATACAACACCTTTTATACTATTCTACTAATCTTCAGTTTTGATACTCAGAACTTTAAATTAAACCACATTTCACAGCTACATAAAACCATGCAATAATTCTCAAGATATGCATGTAATAACCACTTCATTCCAACACTCTGTTAATATGAAAAAATTGCTTTTACTTTGTAACTTAAATATGTTATTACTCTTTAGCCTTATATGTGAAATGTATTAAAGTATCCTAAATATCACTCACTGGTCACTTTATTATAATTTCCACACATACACTCCATATCACTCCATTTATATATATATATATATATATATATGGTAGATATAAAAGGGTGTAACTTGTTGAGTAATTTATTGTGTTATACAAATGCATAGATGCCATCATATGTAATTTGTTACAAAAATAATGAATAAGGCACAAAAAAAGATATCTGAAATGCCAAAAAAAGGACATGATAGTACAACACAAATACATTATAATACTAGTAGTAGTAGCAGTAGGAACATGATTAACAAATACAATTTTTCTGACCAGCTGCTCAAAGATATCTGAGCAAGCTTGTAAGTGCAACAGATGTTAAATTGTGTCCCAACTGATTGATTCCTTCAGCAGTGACAAGGTTTCATCTACCTAAAAAATACCATGTGGGCATTAAAAACTTGTAAGTTATCAGCATACAATCAATCTGAAAAGTTAACATTTTCTTACACTGAAATTGTATTTCTGGTTGATACTTACCTCTACTCACATAATAGCTTTTTGACTTGTGCTGCCCTCTATATGCACCATTCTCACTCACTACTAGCCTTGATACTCCCACTTACCCTCACTTGTTTACATGTGGTATACCTGCACTGTAGCATGCAAATAACTATGTAACAACCCTTCACCAATAGTGAGTGTGACACACCCTCCTAGCGCAGCTGACTCATTCTGTACTATAGAGTACTTTCATCACTTTGAGATTAGGAGTGGGGAGGATAGGTGGGAAGTGTTAGTGGAGGTAAGTATCTTCCAGAAATACATTTCAAGTATAAGAAAATGTTAACTTCTAATACAATACCTTACCTCTTCTTACATAATAGCTAGAATTCCACATTGAAATGGTGGAGGGTCCAATGCAAATTACCTAGATGAGGATTCTTCAGAGAGAACCCATGAGGTGAGATACCTTAATCTATAGGGTCACGCCCATGTGGGACCACACCCCATCTGTATCAGGTATACTCTTTGCCAATTGTAAAGATACATGTCACTAAATCTGGCAGAAAGATGCAAGTCCAATCTGCAAATGGACATGCCAGATCGTGTAGGGTGGCTAGGGCATATCAGACCATATTTGGTGGGCCAACTCCAGTTTAAAACAGGCAGCATCAGGTATTTTTCTTCCAGTCTGCAGTAAAAGGAGGGTCCCAACTGTCTTAACCTCAAGACTAGGAATCAGAAGGGAAAACAACTTCCATTCTGACAACCAAGGCAGACCCAGTACACAACCAACATCAGGCTTTCTGGGAACCCAACATCCAGGCAACAGTAGAAAGGGGAAATGCAAATGTAGTGGGTCAACTCCAGTCCAAAACCTAGTGAAGTTTGGAATTTTGTCAGGTCCTCACTAGGAGAAGAGTACTTACCATCTACACCAACAGAAGCAATCACACTCTGGAGGAAACTTCCATGGTTCACCACCCCAGTGGCTAGGAATTGGTAAGTGGTAAGAACTCCTGTACTCCACTAGGAGAGGGGGGAGAATGTGATGGGGAATCCAGAGGAACACTAATCCATAAGACAGTTCAATAGGTGACCATATTTATTCAACCAGGATCAGAAGTATGGGTAGAAATCTCACTGTTCTACTCAGGACAGTCCATGAGTTTTGTATGGTCTGGTTCAGGCTTTATTTATAAAGCAAGATACTGCAACGCAACCTCGAACAGTCTTATGGAACATCCCATCTCTTCGGTGAGCATTGTAGACTTACACAGCTGTATAGTGCAGACTGAAGTATATCTGGACAGGCACCAATCTCCACAGAGTGTGATCCAAGCAATGAGAAAGGGGCCACTCTAATGGTAAGAAAAAAAAAGAAAGAACTTACCCTCTCACAGATGAAATGAGGTGTGAAAGGTGGTGACAAGAGACAGATGAGGAGGAGACAGTCAAATGATGCAAGTAGTGTGCTATAAAAGTGTAAGGCATGGTCCACATCCAACCAGTACAATTTTCTCCAATTGCCAACAGAAGTGAGTAGCCAGGGAGAGGGTGAAATGACAAATTTGGTGGCAGGAGACTTGGAAAATGCAAGATAAATCCTCAGATAATGACATATAAGCCAACTAAATAAATTAGTGCAGCCAATCAGTAAGGGTGACAAGAGAAAAATCATGGGTAGAGGAAGTATTCCATGGTATAAATAGGTGGGAACGGGAAGCAGTGCAGGTGACATAACAATGCAGAGCATGTACTGGACAAAGAAGACAATTAGGATCGGCATGTCAATACAATTGAGAAATGGAAGGAAGGAAAATAGATGTGAAGGCAATGTCCTCTTCACATGCTATTGGTGTTGGGGAGAAAAAAACTAGGATCTGAATAAAAGAGTATGTAGGTATTGTGATAAAGGATATGGGAGATGTCAACAGCAAAGATATCAGACCTACAATGTCCACGTGCAAAAAGGAGCATTAAATAATCCCTTAATGACAGATGGGACAGTGAACAAGTGGCCAAAGGTTCAAATGAAGGAAAAATAAGGGTAGTAACAAACACACTGAGGTTCCAGTCAGGCAGAGGTATCAGATGGGGGTAGACAAGTCAAATTAAAGGAGTAAAACAGGAGAAAAATAATAGGAGAGGAAAAAATGTGACAGGAGCGGGAGAAACAAAAGGTATAGTCAGCAATGGTGGATATTGATATACTACTGTCAAATAGCCAAGCAAAAAAATCTGAAAGATGGAGAACACTGGGGTGGGAGGGTGAGAAACCAAGTCACAGAGTCTGGCAGACATTCAAGGAAGAAGGGCAGACTGAACAAGACAGAAGGGAGACTACCTGTATAGAGACTCCAGATCTTGCAAGGGACCAGACAAAAAGCACGCATGAAGCCAGAGTGTAGTGACAGCAGGATGAAGTATGGAGGACTGAGGTTATCAGAGAAGGGATTTGCAAAGTGGAAAAGGTAATGGAGGAGACAACTGAAGGAGGGTCAGGATCAGAAACCATGGTTGAGTGGGCCAGAATAGGATGATGAGAAGGACGTAACATGGAGTAGTTTTGGATCAAAGACAGAAGATGGATAGGCATAAAGGTAAAGGTTGATCCAACTCTGACTGAAAGCATCTACCACCAAAGCTAAAGAACCGAAGACCAAAAGAGAGGCAGTTTAGTATTGAGATGAGTGGCAAATGCATCCAGAAAAGGAGTACCAAACTGGGAGCATAACCCCAAAAAACTTGGAAAGCAAGAGACCACACACATAACTGATCTCCTACAAGATTCAGATCACATGGGATGTGCCAAGCAAAAAGGCATACTTCATGAGACTGGGCCCAGGAAAGGAGATTCAACGTTAGAAAGCAAAGTTAACATGAATGGGTACCCACTTATTGACTGATGTAAGAGACAACGGTTGAATTGTCAGAATGGATCATGACCAAATTGCCCCATATCAAAGGTAGGAAGTGATCCAAGGCCCTATGAACTGTAATAAGTTCAAACAGACTGATGTGAAGGGAAGATTCAATCACTGTCCAATGACTTGAGATCTCATAAGAACAAGTACACTCCCATTCCATAAGAGAGGCATCTTTGAACAGGTGCAAATTGGGATAGAGAGGAGGCAGAGGAATGCCAGCTGAGGTGTTGCCTCTGTTGAGCCACCAGGACAGAGGAGGTGGATAGAATTCATGGGATCACAAACAAGATTCCATTGAGTATGCAACACTCACTGAAGACCACAGGTGTGCACAACTCCAGGGTATAAGGGCTTCCATGGATGCCCAGGTCCCCAAAAGAGATAGAATCTCTTGCACAGGGAGAAAAGGAAAGGATTTGGCTTTGAAAACCAAGAGCTCCATTGACCTGAAACAAAGAGGAGAAGGCTGGGCCCTGCTGAGGAAGGTGTGTGGGCTTGAGATAGAAGTTCTCCAACTTGGCTAGCCATCCCACACAAGCAGCTTCCTCTAGGAGGAAATGTATATGAGTGAGAGAGGCTTGTTGGGACAGAGCTAAACATAGTCAGTCATCCATGTAATTATGGAACCACAAACCTTGGTCATGATGATGGCAGGCAAGGGCTCTGACCACATGACAGAACATGTAAGACACTGACACCAGACCAAAAGTTAGAGCACAGCATTGGAAAAGACCTCCATGAGCAAAATGAAAGTAACATCTGGAGGTGAAGAGATAGGGGATATGAAGGTATGCATCACAGACATCAACTTTCATCATCCAGAAACCCAGAGTGAATGCTCACCAAAGTGTGAGGAAGAACTCCATGATGAACTGAGAGAGGTTAGTTATGCAGTTGAGGTTGGACAGGTCAATGATAGGACACCAATCCCTAAGTTTTGTAGAAACCAAAACAACCAAGAGTAAAACCCTGGTGAAGAGTGATGTACTTGTTCAACAGCATCCTTGTGTAAAAAATCTTGAAGCACTTCTGAGAGAGGCTGGCATAAAATAGGATCCTGTAGAGAAGGAAAGGAAATGTGACAAATGGATAACATGGGGGGATAAAGGGAAAGTCTTCCTTATGTAAAAGATCTCAAAACACTTCTGAGAGAGGATGGCATAAAATAGGATCCTGTGGAGAAGGAAAGGAGATGGGACAAATGAATAATATAGAGAGATGAAGGGAAAGTCCTCCTAATGGAAATTGAAGAAACCAGGGATCTGTGGCATCCATAAGCCACAGATCTACAAACCTTGTCAACCATGCCAGAACATAGGGATAGTCACCAATGCAACTGGAATCGAAAAACACAACAATGAGCAATTTGGCAGCTCGCTGTTGAAACCCAGGAGGAAGACATTAGTAGAGGTGAGTAAAGAGGGAGTAAGATACAGTATCTGAAGCAAAGAGAGTTGGGAAAGATGTGCAACTTCGAAGATAAGTGGAGAATGTTGAAAATCACCTCCACCCTAGACTCCAATGTATTAGGAAGATCTCAAAATACAAACTGGTGCAAAAAGGGAGCCAAACAGATGTCTCTTAAAAAGGAAGTAGGGAAGTGCATGTGTGACAAAGGAGCCATGTATGCAAAGATAAGGCTGAGTAAGATAAGCAAACCAATAGAAAATATAAGGGTACAAGTATCCACCAAAACCCTTCAGGGGAATGGTAGAGAACCTCAGAAAGGAGGTGAATGAAAGACAGATAACAGAGAACAGTGATGAGTGTAAGCCAAATATGTGAAAACTGGGCTGAGGAATATCTCAATGTAGTCTCCAGATCAGATCTCCATGCTTGAATCAAAGACTCCAAGTCTGAAATACCAAATACGGAAAATCAGAACTATGATAAGCCAAAGCATAGGAGTCAGATAAACATGGAGAATAAGACATGTTGACACCCAAATGTAATTGGGCTAAAAATTGATCAGCATGGATTCAAATATCAGGAGAGGGGGAAACACTAAATAATCCTACAAAGGTGCAGAATGAAGGAGGGATGGGGAAGAATCAAAGGACACAGAGGAAATTGACAAAAGGTAACATACCTGGGAAATTATTTCCAAAAAGTCAGGATTAGTAAAGTCAGTTCGAAGTTTCTGTTATCAGATTTATAACTTTTGGTTACTTATGACTTACATGTACTTTCTTATTCTCAGCAAATGGTGCCTGCTACTGACAGTGGCCAAGTTTTCTGATTAATGCCCTGTAAAAAGACTTCTAAAGTCCTGAAGTGTGTTTGTTATTCTTATTTCATAAACAATACAAGTTTTAAAATGTTGAAACTTTGTAGAATGGATGGCAACTGCCTGTTGTACAGACACAAGTGGAGAGGACAACATTTCAAAAGTCTCCCGCCTTTTGTCTTCAAGTCATTGTGTGTGTAAGGTGTTGTCGGTCTTTATAGTATTCTGGTGGATTGTGGACAGCATGTTATGATTGGTTATTTTATCCCTGTTTCTGATTGGAGGAGAGATTTCCAGTAAATTCAACCAATGGTTGCCACAGGTTACTCACCTTTAATCCAGAATCTCGGTTTAGTGAAAGTTTAATTGTGTTAATATAAAATGATTCTTTAATTTTTCTTGCCTTCCAAAATTTGTCTGTGTCAATGGTTCTAGTTTTTTCCCAGTTTATTTTGTGTCCAGTGGACATGGCATGTTCTGCAATGGCTGGATTTTGTGTTTTCATGAGCATTGTACTGTCTTTATTTCTTTTATTCTTGTCGCAAGTCTTCTTCCCATTTCTCCAATGTACGTTTCATTGCAGGAACATGGTATTTCATAAATGACGTTTTTATGTTTCTCATTGGTAGATTGCTGTTTGTTTATTACCAGTATGGACCTTAATGTCTTGTAGGATTTCCACCGGATTTCTATGTTGAATTTCTTGGCTATCCATTTGAGATTTTCACTGAAATTTTGCAGGTAGGGGAGGTAAATGGTATTAGTGGTAGTTTTTTTCTGATCTTTTCTTTCTGTTGTGGTCTTCTTCAGGGTGTTTTTCATGAAGGAGGAGGTGTAACCATTCTGTTTAAAACCATCTACGATCTTTTGGCATTCTGTTTCGATTGATGTCTTATGCAAATGTTTTCTACTCTCTTGTTTAGGCATTGGATTATGCCAGTTTTTATTGAGGTTGGATGATACGACTGGAAGTGTAGTTATCTGTTCGTGTGGGTGAGTTTTCTGTATACAGTTGTGGTGATTTTTCTCTCTTGTCTGATGATGAGTATGTCAACAAACGGTAGCCTGTTTTGTTCCTCTATTTCCATGGTGAAGTGGATTCTTTTGTCTACGGAATTAAGATGTTCTAAAAAGACTGGCAACTTTTCATGACCGTGGGGCCAAATAAAGAAGGTGTCGTTAACATAACGCCTGTAGAAACTTGGATTTATAGGTGTGGATGAAAGGGCTCTTTCTTCAAAATCTTCCATGAAAATGTCTGCTAGGATTAGAGAGGGTGGTGATCCCATGGCTAGATTATCTGTTTGTTCATAGAATTCTTTGTTGTATTGGAAATAAGTTGATTGTAGGCAAATAGTCATTAGTTCCATGATAGCGTCTATCTTCTTGTTAGTTCTGAGTGGTAGAGAGTTGTCATTCAGCAGTCGTTGTCTGATGATCTGAAAAGTTTCTGAGGTTGGAACATTGGTAAATAGGTCTGTCACGTCAAAACTGACCAGAATATCCTGGTATCTGATGTGTAGCTTTCTATTGATGAGTCTCTCTTTCTTTTCTGTAGGGTCATTGGTGATCTTTTTATATTGGTGTTTGTCTTGTAACTGCTTGATCTTCATGTCATGATCTTTGAAGTTTAGGATGACCATACTGTTTCCTTTATCTGCTGGTAGAATCTTGATATTGTTGTCTCGTTTTAGACAATTCAGTGCACTGGATTCTTGTTTAGAGATGTTTGGTTTTGGTTTCTTGGCATTCCTGAGGATGGTGTAAGTTTGATGTCAAAATTGTTCAGCCATAGGTTTCGGGGGGGTTTTGTGCAGCAGATTCTAAGATTGCAGGTTTCTCAACAGTTGGAACTGTGCTAGGTTGTATGACGAAGTTTAGACCTAGGTTGAGAATCTTATTTATTTTCTGTATCACTTAGTAATCTCGAACTGTAATTGTGAACTATGTTTGTAGTCGTAGGATTATCTGTCTTGGTAAGTTTGTTGAATTTTTGAACTTGTTTCTTCTTGATGTTGTTGATGGTACAATTGCATTATTTACATCTAACATCCTCTTAAATATTTTTAAGCTGTTTCTATCATGAGTAAGGGTTGCATAATTTTATATTTTGCTAAATAATAAATGCATATTTTTTATTTTTCTGCATAATCACTACTTAATCAGTAATTTTATATTGCATAATCTTAAACTGCTGACCAAATGATTTTAATTTTGTTGCCTCATAAAAATCACAGCCCTAAAGTATTAACCATTGTCTATACTTGTTCACTATTTTAGCTTAAACCTTGAAAGAATTCAAGGTACAGGTAAACTGTACCAAAAATTGACAACTTCTGGTACAAAAAAAAAAAAGAAAATGCAGTTCTCTACAATAGAAAAAAGACTGCATGTATATTTAGTTAATAAGTTTGATAATCAAACCTACTTTTCAATTCTACACATACAAATTCAAAATTATAGTTCCAAATGTCTAAATTCGTACAATCTTTGAATTTAAGCACTTACACAGAATGTATACATTACATCATCCTTGCTTTTAATTGTCAATGAGAATGTATTCAAAGTAACAGAATATACATTATATCATGTAGTTTAAAGAACTATCTGGTGATATGGATGATGTGAAAAGACAACAGGAATAACATTTAAAAAATTTAATATTCAATGTACCAATAGTTTCTACATTTACAACGTGCCTGCATACACTAGAGCTAGGCAATTTAATCAATACAGCTAATAACTTTTTAGCAGAAATTACACTGATTAATGTAATTTAAAATAATAAAAATTACAATTAAATCAATAATCAATATTAGTGTTTTTGGTTATTCCAAGAATCAATTAATTTACATTCCAATTATATTGTCATGGAAATAACTGATCAAAGTTAGTGTTTCTGATAATTCCAACAATTGTTTAACCAAAATTACAACAAAATTGTTTATCATGATAATAATAAACTAATCATTATTAGGGTTTCTGATTCTTACTACTTTTGATTATTCCAACTATCCAAGTAATCAAAGTATTGCCAACAAACTCGCTTGCCTTGTCTTTGTTACTAAGGCTATCTGCCACTGTCACTAATTTTAATTGCTGGCTAGGGATGGGCAATTGGTTTGCAGCTCTCTCTCTGCCAACCTTTTTTGCTTGCTTTTATATACAACGATTGGAGGAATGCTGTTCAAATCAATTAATCAATTACAATAGGTTAATATGGCTGTCAATCAATAGCAACTTCTACTAACTGTGCAGCACTAAAGTACAAAGTTATTCATTTAGCCACACTGTACTGTATTTGAATATCAACATTTATTAGTTGTACACTCACACCATACACTAAATTTTCATAAACTTACAAGTTATTTTTGGTTTCTTTCAATTGCAAAAACGCCGAGTCTTCATTTTTTAAAATATTAGCAAATGACAAAGACCAATTTGGACATATTGCCACAAAAGCAAAAACCCAATTATACATGGTAAGTGGGTAAATACAATACACAAAATAAATGGAAAGAATGTTTAACTGAATCAATTCTACAAATACCAGTAAAAAGAGAAATATATTCCATTCTTTAGTAAGTAAAACAGAAATAACTGTAAGAATGAAAAATAGGATGAATTTCTTTTAAAATACATTTTACATGATTAAGAGCCTTTAAATATTCTTTATAACACAAACTTAATTACAGATATTTCCTTCTCAAAATTGTAGTAAGCAATCAACTAGAATACTTATATCGAAGCAACAATTTAAAAAGCATTTGTAAAACAGTAAAGTAATTTTAATGAGATTTAAACTCAGAACAGCAAGTTGCTTATTAGACATAGCCTTTCAAGTTTTTAAAGAGGAAAAGGTTTTGTCTTATCTAAACATCTCTTGAGCAATATAGAACAGTTTAAACTGAGTTACCATTATAACTAAATTTTAAACTTGAGGAAACAAGATTATGATTCTAAATTATATTTATAAGTTTGAGTTTTATATGTATTTCTGTACACCACAATACATGTCCACAATATGCAAGTTAATTATTTATACTTTACATTTAAATTCTAAACTCTACGGAATATTAGCATTATGTATGTAGATTATGTAGTCATCTGAAAATGTCAGGTAAATTAAGTTCTCAGTGAGGTCAGGTAAATGAGGCTATAAGATACATGTAAAATTTAAAATAGCTTTTCTATTTTTCAACTGAGCTAAGAGAAAATCTAAATACAGTATTTGGACAAAACAAATATTCAAACATTTACATACAAGAATTGTATTGCAATTGGATAATTAATACAATCTAAATAAAACTGACCTTGATATTCATTAAAATTGCTCTGACAAATATAAAATATTTAAAATAATACTCCTGAAAGAGTTACTCCATAAATTATGATTTAATGTTTTAAAACAGTTTATTACATTTTACTCATTTTTACTCACATTTTAACAAACATTACAGTGCTATATCTTTACTGAAAACAACTAAAATTAATATAAATAACTGTGTAATTGATTAAAGCACACACCGTATGTAATTGAATTTTTTATATATTAATATTAACCATGTTTCTCTGGCACATATAACACACAAGCACAATGAGAAGGTGGGAAGGCTGAAAAAACAACCAGCATAACTATCTCAGTACCTTTACTCTCTGGCACTTCCAAATGTAAGAATAGTTTCTTTTAAGAAAAATGCTCCTTACTCGTTGCAGTTATGTTTCTGATCTAGAAGTATCTGAATTACACGCACTTCACAATATGGCAAAAAAATAACATTAAAACCACAAAACTTTCAACAAGCATTCATCACAGGAAAATTATCTGAAGTAAACTAGTGAAATAAGGGAGTAAAGTGCTAACAAGGACTTGAAATGAATCTTATCAGCAATAAACCACTACAATCATATATACATGTACATGTACCTTGAGCTTGTTCATGTTCAAAATGAAGATCAACAGGGTGGAAAATACAAGTCAGGTGACTGGAAAGACAGACAATTCAGATAAGAATCATGTTTTCATTAAAACAAAAAGAGTACAATGCAAGTTAAACACACAACAATCTGAATTATATAAGAAATGTACATTATCACAGTTGGTACAGTCAGTACAAAGAAAACTGCCCCAGTATTATCTTTGAACTTTTTCTTCTTCATATACAGATAAAGCCCTTCAAGTGAATTTTTATGTTCAAGGCCAAAATAATTTTGTAATCCCCACCCTTAAATTATAATTTTTTCTTGATTTTTTTTGTTTCAATAAAACTCAGCTATCTCACTTAAATACAAGTAAATTTAATGTTCTTGTTACACTGGAGTGAGTACGTTTTTTCTGCCTAAAGTTCCACTGAAAAAAAATAAATCATTAATCCATTTAGAATGGTTTTAGGATTGGTCGGGATACAGGATTTTGGAAATAATATTTCTTTTTTTCAGTAAGTGACCAAACATACCTGGTAAAAAAATATCCCAAGTTTTATGGAGATATCAACTTTAATAATTCTACCTCTGGTTCCAGTAAAAATATAAAAGTAGATGACATTAAAGTCATTAGTAGTCAAGTGCTCTTAAACATTCACATTTCAAACTATATTCTCCACCACACTAAGAAAAAGGACCAAAATAACTCCTTTTTTGGTATATGCTGAATAAAAAACAAACTTCCAAATCTTCATATATTCTCTATCCTCATGAGAAGAAGACAAACTTATCCTAATTTCCTTAAAGTCAAAGACTCCAATAATAATAATAAGGCTATTTCTATTGATGCCATCTGTCTCATTACAATCAATGCCCATTACCTAATAAGGTAGTTATAACATTCTTAATCAACCTATCCAAGCCCTAAAACCTGAATAAATTACCTCTAGTACTTCAGATTTTGAAGTTGAAATTTTAAAGTTTTTATCAATAATTACAACTAACTTCCTTCTTTTATTGTAAACTAAATATTCATACTTTTAAGTACATTGCTACAATTCTCACATGAAAAAGTCATTACATTCTAACTTACTCATTGGAACTATCCAAGTCCTAACTCTTTCATCCCAACATGGGTGCAGTCTGCCTTAAAGGGCAAAATTGTACCATAGAATCAAAAACAAATCATATATTTTAAACCTTTAGTCATTTTTCCCACATAATAAAAAAAATATTTCGGAATTGAGTTATCCATTAAAAAGTTTTAATCATTCAATTTTATGATAAAGTTTTTTAAAAAATTTAAAATTTTCATTTTAGGTTGATTTCAGTGCACTCCCAATGAAATTATTAGTGTTTGAGATTTTCCTGAATTTTGTTCTGAGCATAATATGCCACTCATAGCCATGTAAGAAGAAAGCCATAATACTTCGAAACAACATAATACTAGTTTGTCAGGAGCATTTTGTGTAATATGTTACAAATAAAAAAAACATATGAATTCACCAAAGGGACATCTTGCCTTACTAATCTGTCATATTTTTCAAGAGCTTTACTTGTTTTCTGGTATTTATGTACTTAAGAAAAGCTTTCAATAAGATGCTACATAAAAGACTAGCAAAGAAAATCACATCAGTAAGAGTTGGAGAAAGACTAGTTGATTGGATCATAGAGTGGTTAAATGGGAGAAAGCAAAAGGTTGTTATTAATAGTCTAGTCAAACTAGATATCCATTACTAGTGGAACACCTCTTAGGTCATAGTATATACCTTTGCTTTTTCTTATTTACATTAATGATACTGAGAGGGGCATAATTAGTAAAGTTTTCTGATTACATTAAACTCTCAGGTACTTTTATTTGTATCAAAGATGTTGAAGTGTTACAGAATGATATCAATCAATTTGTAATTCAGTAAATGCTTTTTAATTATAGTAAGTGTAGGATATGCACTTGTATTATTATAATTTGTATTACATATTTAATATAGAAGAAAACCCACTCATTAACGTGACTAGAGAGGAGGACCTTGGCATGGTGATGGTGAAGTCACTCCAGCCGTAGAAGCAATGCTATGTTGTTGGCGTTAACACTGATGAAATTTTAGTGTACTTATAGAAACATTCATTATAAGTAAAAAAAAAGAGGGAGTTACCTCTTCACACAAATTACTAGTTAGGTCTCACTTGGAATTACACAGTCTCCTTACTTAAGAAAGAATACTGACTTATAGGAAAGGATTTAGAGGAGCACTACTAGAATGATTCCTGGTATAGCAGGGGCATTTACCCACTAGGAGCTCCAATATGTTCAAGGAAACCAAGATTCAGAAAAATTATTTTCACTTCTGTAGCCACCCTCAAATTCTAATGTATGACAGGAAAACTATAGGGCTTTAATATATGAAGAAAACAAATGGGAGTTTTCAGAAGTACTTAAAACAAAAATGAAGAAAATTAATTGCACTTCCAAAGCCACCTTCCTTTAATATGAGGAATAAAAAAATGGATTATTGGTTATTTACTCACTATGGCTCATAAAACCTACATGCTCCAATATCTTCTAAAAAAATAATTTCACTTACAAAGTCCCTCTTAAATTTACATATTTGGTAGACAAACTATAGGGCTTTAAGATAAGATGAAATAAACTGGGGGTCTCCTGGCTTGTTTACGCTCTCTAAGTATAAAACCTAGAAGCTCTATTATGTTCTTGAATTTGTAAATCTTATGTTAAAGCACTGTTATTTGTTTGTGAGTGTGACATATGTGAATTTACCAATGGCTTTGCAAGTGCAAGTAACCTTTCAGAATTCTTGTTTTTTCAAAATGTATTATAGCTTCCATGTTTACAATCTTAGTGGGTAAATGAAATACTCAATTTGCCTCTTCGCAAATTAAAGTCTTGTTGTTTTTCTGTCACATGTGTAAATTTGAGGATGAATTTGGAAGTGCACATAATTTTTCAGTATTTTTTATTTCCAGCACATCTTGGCACTATTTTATGTCGCTAGTTAATAACTGATCCTCATGATGTCAATCATTTTTTTCTTATATAAAAATCCTGTCATTATTTCTGCTAGTTAATAAATGATCCTCATGATGTCAATCATTTTTTTCTTATATAAAAATCCTGTCATTATTTCTGACATATACATGAATGTGCAAGTTGCATTCAAAGTATGAGCACTTCATCATAATTGTTTTGTAGAACATCTTGGAGATTCTATGTTTCATGCTCCTATTGGACAAACAACCCTAGAGAACCACCCAATTAATTCTTACTTTAAAGCCCTGTTGTTTCTCTGTTATACATGAGAATTTAAAAGTTTTGGAAGTAAAATCAACTTTACATAATCTTTCTTTTTCTAAACATCTTGGAGTTCATAAGATTGATTTTCCCTTGTATGTAAACGAACCTGGAGATAGTTGTTTCTGTGTGGTGACTTTAGAAATCTGAAGATATATTTTTCGTACCCATAGTGTTATTATTATTTCCTCTTTTATTTTCTACATCCACAATACTTTTCAACTGGAAATCAAATTCAGTCTGCCGCTTTCCTATCCTATGGCATTTAATTTACCTCAGATTTTCTCCTTTACTAATAGTAATAGTATTCGTAATACTACATAATATATTACATTAGAGTTAGACTTTAGTCTATGTTTTTAATCTCTCGAATAGAAAGCCAATTACTGAATTACTTCAAGTAGTTTTTCTTCCCTGTAATTTGTAAAACAAGTCGCGTACTCGTAATATTACTTAAATTAATAATATTATCTTACCTTATTAAAGAAAATGGTTCTTGCATAGCACCAATTAGACCCTCTCTTCCAGTTCCAACCCCCTCACCCAAAACAGGTGCATTTATTTTGCACCTTCTTTTCCCATAAATTGTTAGCCCACAGCCCTACACACTTCACACATAGTTCCTCAGAGTCCTCTATGACATCTAGAAAAATAAATGTTTTACTTCTAATCATTAACAAAATTACTACAATGTGTTTGTTTGTAGTTAAGCACAAAGTTACACAAAGGGCTATCTGTGCTCTGCCCACCACGAGTATCGAAACCCGATTTCTAGCGATGTAAGCCGGCAGACATACCGCTGTGCCACTGATGTACCAAAACCTTAAAATATAAAAGACATTTTAAACGTTTACATTCATTCATGAAATGTGTCATTTATTGGGGGCGCTACAATGTGAAATTTTAAATATAGTAAACTAGCAGATGCCCATTGAAACAATTCAACTTTAATTTTCCTAAAAAAATACTGATGAATAAATATAAAATGTGCAATCAACCCAATCTCTTCGATCAGAGCGTATATGCAATGTGATTGTCTAGTTGGCCGTTTACAACGGTCTTTTATCCCTCATTGTGTTATTTCAATAACGAAAACTGCATTGCGTTTGCTTTTAAACAAAGAAAACTACGCTGTTGGCAAAAATGTTTGGGTTTCTATTCAATGGGTGCATCCAGCACATCCAGCTCGAATTCAATAAGTATCTGCGGGAATTTTTTCCGCTGGATGCTACCGTATCTTGTCATTGCACTGAGTGCAAGAAAAGACCGCTATCAAAGTGGGCGCTTTTTGACAATTATCATTTCTATAGAAAGAGTCAAAGGGGAATTTTCACTTCACTTCAAATTAATTTATTCGTCAATAAAATCAAACGGGTATATAATACCGACATGAAAAAAAATAAGACATATCTTTTTATTATTTCTATAAATTGAACAACAACAAATATATACTCAAGGAAGTTCTTCTTTTTATGCATATTTTCTTGTCTTGTTCATATCTTCGCATGGGACAGCGTTAAGTCTACTGATTTGCAATGCTCAAATCAGGGGTTCAATTCCCCTCGGTGGACACAACAGATAGCCAGATGTGACTTTGCTATAAGAAAAACACACAAAAATACACGCTCGAAATATTTTTTTCAGTTAGTTGACTGAGAAAGTCTCGTTTTTTTCGAAAAATTCCCTCACAAAAACGAAATTATTTTGAATTTCGCGCAAAGCTACACGAGGGCTATCTGCGCTAGCCGTCCCTAATTTAGCAGTGTAAGACT